CTCCGTTTCTTGGTTTTGCCTCAAACTGCATTTTTGATGTCACCCCACAAGTTTTCTATTGGATTAAGATCCGGGGATTGGGCTGGCCACTCCATAACGTCAATCTTGTTGGTCTGGAACCAAGATGTTGCACGTTTACTGGTGCGTTTGGGGTCATTGTCTTGTTGGAACACCCATTTCAAGGGCATTTCCTCTTCAGCATAAGGCAGCATGACCTCTTCAAGTATTCTGATGTATTCAAACTGATCCATGATCCCTGGTATGCGATAAATAGGCCCAACACCGTAGTATGAGAAACATCCCCATATCATGATGCTTGCACCACCATGCTTCACTGTCTTCACAGTGTACTGTGGCTTGAATTCAGTGTTTGGGGGTCGTCTGACAAACTGTCTCCGGCCACTAGACCCAAAAAGAACAATCTTACTTTCATCAGTCCACAAAATGTTGCGCCATTTCTCTTTAGGGCAGTCAATGTGCTCTTTGACAAATTGTAACCTCTTCAGCACATCTTTTTTTCAACAGTGGGACTTTGCGGGGGCTTCTTGCAGATAGCTTGGCTTCACATAGGCGTCTTCTAATTGTAACAGTACTCACAGGTAACTTTACACCTTCTTTCATCTTCCTGGAGCTGATTGTTGGCTGAGTCCTTGCCATTTTGGCTATTCTTCTATCCATTTGAATGGTAGTTTTTTGCTTTCTTCCACGTCTTTCAGGTTTTGGTTGCCCTTTTAAAGCATTTGCGATCATTTTAGCTGAGCAGCCTATCATTTTCTGCACTTCTTTATATGTTTTTTCCCCTCTCCAATCAACTTTTTAATCAAGGTATGCTGTTCTTCTGAACAATGTCTGGAACGACCCATTTTCCTCAGAATTTCAGAGAGAAATGCACTGTAACCAGCATGTACAACATTTGCTGCCTTCCTTCCTTAAATAAGGGCAATAATTGCCACCTGTTTTTTAAAGAATGAATGACCTCACTAATAGAACTCCACACTGCTATTATTTTGAACATGCCCCTTTCAATTAGTGATTCAATGACACAGAATCAGCAGCATGCATGTCATGACTGTTGGGTCTGTTGGATTTCTATTACTCTACTACACCTGCTAGGAAATTATTTGCCATGTAGAAATATCATTTCTACCAAAAACAGTGATTGATCAGGTTAGTGATGTCTGACTGATATTATTTTGAACACAACTGTATATATATATATGTAGCAAGTGAAAGGCAGTATAGCCATATATAATCCAGGCAAAGATAAGTATTGTTGTTTATATTCAAATGATACAATATTTCTATATAGTGTGGGGAAAAAATGATAATGCACAGAGAAGTAGCAAATGTGATACTAGACAGTTGGAAGCCTTGGAAGGCAAGGTATCCATAAATAATCCAGGTACAGATATTGGAAACAGCATGTCTTGCTGTGTATCACTAAACATATATTGTGTTTCCAACTAATTTGGCAGCCGTATCCACAATGGGCATTTACTGTAAGATGTAAAAAAAATAGTTGATGAATATGCTGTGATGTTTTGGGTTTCTGGATCACTAGCCAGCCGTGCTTTAGAACACAACGTTTTTTTTTCTTCAAATACAGGTAAACAAAAATAGTTCTTCTTCAGCATAAACCAAACAAAACTATTCATCAACATCTGCTACATAGCAAAACTTTGTCTTATTGCCAGCATAACCTTGTTCCATAACAGGGTTTAAAGTCCCCTCCTGCACCAAGGGTCCAGATAAATGGTCACCACAGCTCAGCTGCATCTCAGTAGCTAAACAGCACATAATGTCTCTCCCCAATGAGTCCTGCTCCACTTAACAACTCATGGACGACTACTGGATGTTTCCTGCTCTTTTTAGCCCTCTTGCAGGTGAGTTAGCCCTTTCAGGTTCAAAGTACCCTTAGTCAGGGTTGGAGGCTCTTTCCCACCCAAAGTCTCTCTGAGCCTCAGAATTCCAGGACCCATTTGAGGCCATAATAATAATAATATAAAAAAAAAAGGAAGAAGAAAACTCTAAATTACTTCTCCCTCTTTACTAGATCACTACAGAACCCCTCACCCTGCACTGGTGAAAATCCGAATACCCCAGCCTGCTTCTTGTTGTCCTCATTAAAGTGACCACAACTCAAACAATGGAGACACATAGCTCTTATCCAGGAACCATTATGTTCAATCTAGTTGGGTGGTGATTCAGTCTGTTAAACTCTTCCTGCTCAGCAGTTACCTCGTATTGCTGTAACAGCTGATAACCAGTTCAGCACTGCAAAGCAGCAGCTACAGAGAGCAGCTGCGGCCAGTGTTTCTCTCACTCTCATTCTTAGCAAAGCAGCTGGCTACACATGCAGTATGCAGAACCTAGTCTACTGGAGATTTATTTTCCGTATCATACTCAGGATTAACCATTCAAATATAGAAATCAGTGTGAATTGTAATGAGTTCATCGTTCTTGTGATACCTTTGGAATCTGAGGAAGTTTCTGTTGTTTGAAAGACCCTGTGTCTGCATATCATGCCTTTCTCAACTGTAATCAGCAGTTTTAGATCATAAGTGATTGACATTAATCAACAGTTCTTTATCCGCTTCATAAATCTGTTTAAACTTCCAAGTTGGCTTAACCAAGCATTTACCTTGTCTGCTTACTTTATGAATTGGGGAAAAAAAAAATCTGTTTCTTGATGTGTTTCAGCCTCCACAGAAAATGTTGCTGTGACAGTATGTGGACAATAAGTCTCCATGCACACTAGTGTTTTTTAGATCCTAGAGGCTGCTATCAGCATTTTTCTTTCTGCTGCTAGAAGCCAAGTGTTATCCTATGTGTCTGTGCACATTATTTTAGGCTAATAGCATTTTTCCAGCTTCAGCATTTAAGAACAGAAAAAAAAAATAGTTTTTGTTGAGTTCGTTGGGAGCTTTTATCTGGCAGTAAAAAAAAAACAACACTGAACGCTTCTAAATGCTACTAAAACGCTTTTAACAACGCTTTAAAAAGTGTTTTTTTTCTTCTAAAATTTTGCAAATAAATAATATTTCATCATAAATATTGCCCAACATTTATTGAGTTATCTTTTTAGTAAAACAAAAATAAATAAACCAAAATTAGTTTTATAACCAAAAGTTATAATTTTTTAAAAAAAATTTACATTTTTATTTTTTTTTAGATTATTAGTTTTTTTTTTTTTTTTTTTTTTTTTACATACTGTCACCCTAGCAATACAGTGTCACCATGGTGACACTGTACTACTTGTGGGGGGTGATGAAGATTTTTTTTTCTTTTATTTACACCGATTGCTTTTACACCCATAAAGGCTGTAAAAGCAATCATTTCTCCTCTCTAGCTGCATTCTTGCAGCCATTGAGAACTACTGTGTGAGCTGTGATTGGTCACAGCTTGTCACATGGTACAAGGCTGTTGTGAATAGCCTTGTACCATGTGACCTCTGTGATCATTAACAGATTTCACATGTAGTAAGCAATGATGTCACAAGTAACATCTTGCTTACTACTCTGCATGTGATCACTGATTAGCCAGTCAGTGATCAAATGTCCGGGACCTCACACAGAGGTCCCGTGCAACGATTGGTGTTCCACTGTGTCCAGAGGACACAGAGGGCACTGGATCGTGGTTCTGCACGCTCCCAGGGAGCACGCACAGTCCAAAATGGCGGGCGCCGTTTATGAACGGCAAGCCGCCCCTGGACTGCCACAAATTTAGTTTTAGTTATAGTCTTCACTAAAATGCCATTTTAGTTTTTAGTCGTATTTATTCCTCTGAATTGTTTTAGTTTTAGCTGTATTTTAGTCAACTAAAATAGTGCCATTTTTGTCTGTGAAATTAACACTGCTTGCAATAGGAAAAAAATCATCCATCAATTCATCAACAATTTAGCCATCCTTGTAGACCACTGGAAGTATTAAAATGTTTCTCTGCTCCAGGGCCCATACCAGGGTGTGGGCGGCGGGGTCACTCTGATGGGATACTGGTGGGGGGGCCACCTTGACTCTGCTTTTTGTATTGGTTTGTTCTGTATGTTCTGTCTCCCCGTACAGCCTGAGCGAACTATTGGCGCTTTATAAATACTGTATAATAATAATAATAATAATAATATCCGTCCCCCGACCCATCTTCTTTCACATCTTTACAACTGACTTCTCTTTTTTTTTCTTTTCTTTAGACTTTTTTTTTTTTTTCTCTGTTTGGGTTCATACTCTTGGTTACACGGATTTATCTCATTTTGTTTCATATATTTCATCTGGAGATGCTCCCCTTGAACCTATGTTTTTCCATATCTCTGTAACGTGTTACTGACACTTCCATTTTGCTCTTGTTTGGAATCATTTTCATTCACCCGCATGGACTATAAACACGCCTGTGATGTTTTTCTATCAACTTACTTGTCCATGTTATTATTTCTCATGCTTTGTATTGTTAAAATTGATGTAAAATATAATAGAGACAAATTTGCCTTTAAAATGTTTCTCTGTTTTCTTGACAGCTGTGGGACTAAGGGAGAGAAAGGCTCACATTCAGAGTTTAGGTGCTTTGTGGACTTTAAGGAGGAGGAAAAAGAAGAAACATTGCTGGAGAAGGACTTTGACACAATTGACAGCTTCCCATCATTCAAGACCATGGCTGCTATAGGTGTTGGGATTATACTGCTCTGCTTGCTGGCAGGTGGTTTTGCTGAAAATTCAGGATGTACACTAGTAGATGTATCAACATCATGTGGAAAGGTTCGTGGTCATCACTGTGATCATGTTTATATGTTTAAAGGGATTCCATATGCCAGACCCCCCACTGGGCCATTGCGTTGGAAGCCTCCTGTGGAGCCCACCTGCTGGAAGAACACTCTCATTGCCACAGAGTTCAAGTCCATGTGTGCCCAAGTGAGGCCTTGGAGTGAGACGGGAACAGTAATGGGCTCAGAAGATTGCCTGTATGTCAATGTGTGGACACCATCACTTGATCATAAAGCCAAACTACCAGTAATGGTTTGGATCCATGGAGGTTGCCTTTTATCTACTAGTGGTTCAGAGCCTGGCTATTCTCCCAATAAAGAACTAGTAAGAGACAGCCATATTGTCCATGTCAGCTTTAACTACCGTCTTAATGCATTTGGATTCCTAGCTTTGGCTGAACTTCGAGAAGGATCTCCCACCAACACCTCTGGTAACTACAACACAGAGCATGCACAGATTATGCATTGTTAAAATTACAAGTTCATTTCTATTTTCTCTGTGCACGCTTCAATCTTTAAAAGCCAAGATTTGCTCAATGTCATTTTCATACTCCTTGCCTCCTGTCAGTATAGGGTGCAGTTATTGTGAAGCCATCAGTTGTTTATGCATAGTGCCTGCTTATAGTAGATATGCAATTTACTCCAAATATCCACATTAGTAGATAATCTGGTATATATTGGATTCTGTCAGTTGCAGTCTAAATTGTACTTTGCTACATATTAGCCTAGCACCTTGTTCTGGGAAGTCTAGTGCACCAGTAGGGCCACAGACCCCTGAGTGATGGTTGGCAAGCCAGTGACCAGACATTTCATTCTATGCACAGGTAATTCTAGGGGATTGAGGAGAGGCTTGAGTCATGTACACCAGATATTGTGTTTAAAAAAGACTAAGCATATCTAAAGCCATTAAAAAAAAAAACTTTTTGGATAGAGGAGGGAAGGGTTAAAGTATATCTAAACCCAAAAACAAAAATGTAATATACTGCGACTTACCAGTTCTTAGATTTGGTGGCTAAATTAGATTTCATTGTTCAGGCTGAGAACAGGTTCAGCAAATTCAGGAAACAACTGTTCATCGTGCCAGAAAGGCAGTGTCCTTGTCACTTTCTGTGAGATGAAAACAAAGCACAAAAGAACTAACTTTATTGTGTAAAAGTGGTTGTAAACCTCAGACATGAAACCTGAACAAATCATATCCCTCTATAGTGTGTGCTTGTCTCAATCCAGAGCACTAAGTGTCATTTATGTCCGCTGCATCGTTCTTCTGCTACAAGTATGAATCACTACTGACAAGTTTTCCTGACACCAAGAAAAAAAAAATGGTGACAGGTAAGGGACATCCAGCACACAGACTGTGATTGACAGCCTCAGCTTTCTTCCTGTGTGCAGGGGAGTGTGTGTGTACATTTCCTCAAATCAGCACTCAGAGCTCTCCTCTGATGTAACTTCAGCTCTGCTTTTCAGAGCTGAGAGATACTGTGTACATTTTTCACTTTGAATGGATGTAGTGGAAAGACAGTATATATATATATATACACACACACACACTGTATATATACAGTGTATCCAGAAAGTATTCACAGCTACTAACTTTTGCCACATTTTGTTATGTTACATCCTTATTCCAAAATGGATTAAATTAATTTCCTCAACATTCACACACACACACACAATACTGCCAAAAGTATTGGGACGCCCCTCCAAATCATTGGATTCAGGTGTTCCAATCACCTCCATGGTCAATAGCTAAAAGACCTCCAAACTTGGTGTGGCCTTCAGATTAGCACAATAGTGCATAGAGAGCTTCATAGAATGGGTTCCATGGCCGAGCAGCTGCCTCCAAGCCTTACATCACCAAGTGCAATGCATAGCATCAGATGCAGTGGTGTAAAGCACGCCACCACTGGACTCTAGAGCAGTGGAGACGTGTTCTCTGGAGTGACCAAATCACGCTTCTCTATCTGACAATTCAATGGACATGTCTGGGTTTGGCAGTTACCAGGAGAACAGTACTTGCCTGACTGCATTGTGCCAAGTGTAAAGTTTGGTGGAGGGGGGATTATGGTGTGGGGTTGTTTTTCAGGGGTTGGGCTTGGCTCCTTATTTCCAGTGAAGGGAACTCTTATGGCGTCAGCATACCCAGACATTTTGGACAATTTCATACTCCCACCTTTGTGGGAAGAGTTTGGGGATGACCCCTTCCTGTTTCAATATGACTGCATACCAGTGCACAAAGCAAGGTCCATAAAGACATGGATGAGCGAGTTTGGGGTGGAGGAACTTGACTGCCCTGCACAGAGTCCTGACCTCAACCTGACAGAATACCTTTGGGATGAATTAGAGCGGAGACTGCGAGCCAGGCCTTCTCCTCCAACATCAGTGCCTGACCTCACAAATGTGCTTCTGGAAGATTGATCAAACCTTCCCATAGACACCCTCCTAAACCTTGCCCGCTGCCACTCGACTCTAGAGCAATAGAGACTTATTCTCTGGCATGACAAATCACACTTCTCTCTCTTGCAATCCAATGGAAGTGTCTGGGTTTGGCGATTGCCAGGTGAATGGTACTTGCCTGACTGCCTTCCCAGAAGAGTTGAAGCTGTTATAGCTGCAAAGGGCGGGCCAACTCAATATTGAACCCTACGGACTAAGACTGGGAGGCCATTAGAGTTCAGGTGTATGTGTGTGGGTGTATTGTGCTAACCTTCATCTTAAAATGGCACATTTTAACAGCATAAGATAACTGGATTTATAAAGACTAAAGTAATTGGGCTTTTTGGAAGTCACTTTACCTTATCCCACCTCAGCATTTGTATATGTTTGTAGGTTATGTACTGTATATTTATTTTTTTTTTACTTTACTGAATTATGGCATAAGTCAGTCAATAATTATTTATATCTTTAACAGGCTCCTACTGCTTAGCTCCAGGGAAACCCCTAAATACCCAGTTGAAGCACATTTATGGCAGATCTTGTACCTGCCAAATTATATAAATTGTTGTCTATCCAATTCTAACATTTAAACAACCATGCCAGACAACACAGACACATTGGTGACCCAGTTTTTCACCTTCTGCAATATAGCTTTGTCACCTCCAAGCCTCATTATGAATGGAGAATAATGGAGTAGCAAGTGACTGATGAGCTCATCTCTTTTCTTACTCTCCTCCTGTCAACATGTGGTCAACACATGTGTATTAAGCAAACCCGATTGGCTTCTAATGCAGATCCTCCCTCTCCAAGTCCAGGTGCTGCTTTGCAGAGGAGTACTAGAGGCTGATAGAAAGTCAAATTAAAGTACTGAAGTTAGTTGTATTTACAATGGAAAAATACATGCAATGATTTCTAACAAGTACATAAGTGCATCCTTTGGTATTTTTCTGTATCAGGAGTTTAACTTAAGGCTCGTGAGAATAATCAGTTTCTGTATCACCGACTTGCAGGAAATTATGCATTAATGGATGAGTTGGCTGCTCTGAAATGGATACAGAAGAACATCCAATATTTTGGTGGTGACTCAAAGAAGGTGACACTTTATGGCCAAAGTTCAGGTGAGAAGAGTTTGCCAATATTAAATCATTACCATAATGAACAGCATTACATTACATTACATTACATTGAGTTTATATAGCGCCAAAGGGTTTGCTCAGCGCTGTACAATAGGGGGGGGGGGGACAATACATGAAACATTACAGCAACTACAAACAGCACATGAGGGGTTAGAGGGCCCTACTCTTTCGAGCTTACAATCTAGGAGGGAGGGGATAGTGGTACAGGAGGAAGTGGCTGTGGGGGATGGAGTGGTAGGAGGAATGAAGGAGAGCAGCAGTTAGGTGAAGGTGGGGTAGGCTTCCCTGAAGAGGTGGGTTTTCAGGGAGCGCCTGAAGGTGAGGAGGGAAGGTGACAGTCTGATGGATTGGGGTAGTGAGTTCCAGAGGATGGGGGAGGACCTGGAGAAGTCTTGCAGACGTGCGTGTGAGGAGGAGACCAGGGAGCAAGATAGAAGGAGGTCCTGTGAAGAGCGAAGGGTACGGGTAGGGTGGTACTTGGGAATCAGGTTGGTTAGGTAGTTAGGGGCAGTGTTGTGAACGGCTTTGTAGGTCAGAGTGAGTAGTTTGAATTTGATGCTTTGGGCGATAGGGAGCCAGTGGAGGGATAGGCAGAGGGGGGTGGCAGAGGTGGAGCGGTTGGTGAGGTGGATGAGTCTAGCCGCTGAGTTCAGGATGGTCTGAAGCGGGGAGAGCCTACACTGGGGTAGGCTGGTGAGGAGGGAGTTGCAGTAGTCAAGGCATGAGATGATGAGGGAGTGTACGAGTAGTTTAGTGGTGTCTGGGGTAAGGAAGGTGCGTATTTTGGCGATATTGCGGAGGTGGAGCCTGCATGTGTTTGTAAGTGATTTTACATGAGGTTGGACTGAGAGGTTAGAGTCCAGAATGACTCCAAGGACTTTGGCTTGCGGGGGCGGGATTGATGGTGGTGATGTTAGTAGTAGTGATGGATAGGATGGGGGGGGCGCAGGCAGGGGGGAAGAGAGACGCTCGGTTTTGGAGAGGTTAAGCTTGAGGAAATGGAGCGACATCCAGTCAGAGATGTCGTTTAGGAGGTGAGTGATGCGGGCGGAGAAAGTGGGGATGAGGTGGGGGGGTGGAGAGGTAAATTTGAGTATCATCAGCGTAGAGGTGGTAATTGAAGCCGTGGGAGTGTATGAGTTTGCCAAGGGAGGAGGGTGTAGATGGAGAGGAGAAGGGATCCAAGGACAGAGCCCTGGGGGACCCCAACAGAGAGGGGGAGGGAAGGGGAGGTGGCACCATTGTGGGAAACGCTGAAGGAGCGTCGGGATAGGTAAGAGGAGAACCAGGAGAGAGCGGTGTCTCTGATGCCAAGGGAGAGTAGTTTATTAAGGAGGAGGGGGTGGTCAACTGTGTCGAAGGCCACGGAGAGGTCCAGGAGGAGGACAGAGTAGTCGCCTTTGGCGGTTAGTAGGTCGTTGGCGATTTTGAGGAGGGCGGTTTTGGTGGAGTGTAGGGGACGGAAGCCGGACTGTAGTGCATCAAGGAGGTTTGTTGTCAGTTAGGTGGGCGCTTAGGCGGTCGTAGACTAAGCGCTCCAGGAGTTTGGAAGTGAGTGGCAGCAGGGAGATGGGTCTGAGGTTGTTTGGGTCAGAGGGGTCCAGGGAGGGCTTTTTGAGTATGGGGGTGATGTGCGCATGCTTTAGGGGGGAGGGGAATACGCCGGTAGAGAGGGAGAGATTGAAGATGTGGGTGAGGGAGCAGATGAGGGAAGAGGGGGGTGACCGGAGGAGTCGAGAGGGGATAGGGTCCAGGGGGCATGTAGTGAGGTGGGCTTCAGAGAAGACCCTGGTGACTTCCTCAGTGGTAGCGGGGCTGAAGGAGTGCAGAGCTGGGGGGGTTACGGTAAGTGGGGTCTTGGGTGTGGAGGGGGGCAGTGCGGTTGCGAGGTCAGAGGAGGGAAGAGATGAGGGGGAGATAGGGGGGGGGAGGCTAGGTGGGGAGGTAGATTGCGAGTTGACTATGTCCTGAAGGATTGCATCAATCTTGTTGTGCAATTGAGTGTCAATTTCACGGGAGGTGAGTGAGGTACTGAGTGGAGGAGGGGGGGGAGAGAGTAGGGAGTTGAAGGTTCAGAAGAGTCGGCGAGGGCAGGAGGAGAGGGTGTTGATCAGGTTTACGAAGTAAGCCTGCTTGGCGGCATGGAGGGAGGAGGTGTAAGTGAGGAGGGCAGATTTGTAGAGGGAGAATGAACGGGGGGACCTGATTTTGCGCCATAGTCTCTCTAGTGCGCGACTGTGGCATTTGAGGCATTTAGTGTGGTCGTTCTGGCATGGTTGGAGCGGTCTAGGTTTGATGTAGCGTGTGGTTAGGGGTGCCAGAGAGTCTAGGGTAGCTGATAGTGAGTCATTGTACGTGGTAGTGGCTAGGTCAGGACATGACAGTGGAAGGATGCTGTCGTGTAGGCGGTCGGCAGCTGAGTGGAGGGGGGCCGGGTTCAGGTTGCGGAGGTTGCGGCTGGTGATGGTTTGGCGCTGGGGGGGAGGCGTTAGGGGAAGGGGAGATGGAGAACGTGAGGAGGTGGTGGTCGGAGAGAGGGAAGGGGGTGTTAGTGAAGTGGCTAAGGGTACAGAGGTGGGAGAAGACGAGGTCCAGGGTGTTCCCATTGATGTGGGTGGGAGGATTGAGTGTGCTGTGTGAGCGCGAAGGAGGAGGTTAGGTGGAGGAGTTGGGAAGTAGCCGGGCTGTTGTCGTTGATGGGGATATTGAAGTCCCCGAGGATGATGGTCGGTAGCTCAGAGGAGAGTAAGAAGGGAAGCCAGGCGGCGAAGTCATCCAAGAAGCGGGGTATGGATCCGGGAGGCCTGTAGATCACTGCGATCCTTAGGGGGGTGGGGGTGAAGAGCCGGATACAGTGAGCCTCGAAGGAGGAGAAGGTTAGGGAGGGAGGGTTAGGGAAGACCTGGAAGGTGCTCAGCGGTGATAGGAGCAGGCCGACCCCACCACCTTTGTGACCGCTCAGTCTCTTGGTGAATGGGACCAGACAAGACCTCCATAGGAGAGTGCCGCAGGGGAGGTGGAGTCAGTGGCCTGTACCCAGGTTTCGGTAATGGCTAGGAGGTTAAGGGAGTGGGAGATAAAGAGGTCATGGATGGCGGTAAGCTTGTTGCAGACCGAGGGCATTCAGGAGTGCAACCGAGAGAGGGGGGATGGATGCGGGGAGAAGGGGCACAGGTATGAGGTTGAGGGGGTTACGGCAGCTGGCGGGAGCAGGGGGGTCCCTAGAGGAGGGGTGAGGTGGTGAGGGTCCAGGGTTCGGGGAGATGTCCCCAGCGGATAGGAGAAGGAGAAGGGTGAGGAAGGTGGCATGGGGATGGGAAGTGCAGGAGCGTGTGGGTCTGTTAGTGGTGGCACGTGGGTCAACGGGGGAGTGGAGTAGCAGCAGGAGGAGGTGTGAGTGCCGTAGTGGTGAGAGGGGAGAAGTGAAGGGGCAATGTAGAGCTGTTTTGGGGGCGTAGGTGGGTAGAGGGAGGTGATTTTTGGGATGGTGGAGAGGAAAACAAGGAGGAGGAGTGCAGGTGGCATGTTGGGTGGGTGGAGTGACGGTTGGGTCAGGGGAGGTGAAGGGATACAGGTCAGGGCAAGGTGGTGTGGGGAATCTGTATCACCGTGGGAGAGTCATTTGAGTCCTTCTGTAGGGTAGAGTGAGGGTGGAGGGCGGCAGCTGGTTGGGCAGCAGTCTGTGGGTGCAGTAAGCTGGCGACCATGGGTGCTGTGGCATGTCTTTAGTGGGTACGGTGGGTCGGCTAGCGGAGGGGTCGTAGGGTGCGATGACTGGGTGTGTTGGTAGGCACACGGCGACTGGTGATGCTGGCGGCTCGGTGACTGGGGTTTTTGAGGCCAGGCGTCGGGTGCTGAGGGCTCGGCGTCATGAGGCGCTGAAGGTGTTGAAGGGCGCAGCGTCAGGAGTGTTGAGGGATCGTCGTCAGGGTCGAGCGGGGCGTTGCGGTAGCGATTGTCGGCCCTTCGTGGTTTGCGCTCAACCGCGATCTGTTGCGGCCGGTAGGAGAGACCGTGGCTTCAAGGGGTCGTGGTGGGCCACTAGTCGCCGGGGCTTCGCCAGAGGGAATAGCGTGCCGGAAGGCAGGGTGGTGGGCGAGCGGTCCCTGGTGGGGTGGCTGGCTGGTAGTCCCAGGTGGGGTGGTGGGCAGGGGATCCCTGGTGGGATGGTGGCCATGCTATCCCTGGTGGGGTAGTAGCGATCCCTGGAGGGATAGTGGCTTAGGGTCCCTGGTGGTTTGGGGTTTCCGGTGGATGGTGGGATCCCTGAGTGAGTCCCTGGTGGCTGGCGGTGTGATGGTGGTTGGGCTCCCTGGTGGGTAGTGGGTGCCCCTGGTGAAGTACCCTGGTGTTCCTGGGTCCTGGAGCGTCGGGGTGGAGGTGGATCCCTCCTAGGTTAGCAGGACCGTTGGTGGTGGTGGTAGCTTCCCGGAGGAGCGGAGGCGTCCCGCCGCGGCCGCAATTGTGCCTTTTTACATTTTCTGTATCTCAGGAGCTAACAATCATGTGTTCCTCCACTTCATACAAAACACATACACAAAATAGGGAGGCCTATGCAATCAAAAGTTCTTTCCCACAATGCAAATTAAAAAAAAATGCCAATTAACATATAAAACATAAGAAAAAAAAAAAGAAAGAAAGAAAATAAAACCAAAACCCTGAGTCTCAGTGCTTTAAGGACACAGTGCTAACCACTGTAATACAACATGTAAATGTAGAATTCAAATATTTTAAAGGTATGTTTAGTTGTAGACATTTTTACTATAATATTGTTGGCATATGTGTTAGGATTTGTGTCACAAAAGCACTTAGAGACCTTTAAAACTGGATGTTGTGATAATATTATGAATACATTATTGCTTATAATAAAGCAGACACCATTATGAAAATAATGTACCATAGTTACGGTATATTTTGTTTCTGGTCATCCCTATATGAATGTTCTTACTGATGAAGGAGGGACTACAGTGTGGGCTTTGATGGTGTCCCCTTCGGCAAAGGGTCTTTTTCATCGTGCCATTGACATGAGTGGAGCCCCTCAGTTTATTGCCACTATGACTGAGGCAGAAAAGGATAACTTGGTCTTCCTGAAGAAGACAGGCTGCAAAGATGCTAAATGTTTGAGGCAGCTGACCATAACCAAGATCCTTCAAGTAAGTGTCATCCCCAGTCAATGAACAAAAAAGGCTTACATTTTTTATTGCATTTATCCCATTGTCCCAAATATGGTGGCCCATTATTTTAACTGAAAAGACATACAATATTGGCAAAAGTTTGTGGACACCCAATCATCACACCTACTATACGGAAAAATATTAGTAGATCCCCTCCCCCAGTGAAAGGTAATACTACAACATAAAAAGACATTTAGACTGTGTGCTTCTAACCTTTTGGCACACTTTATGTGAGACTATTGTCTGTTCCAGCATGACTGGAATGGTTTGTTGAGTTTGGTTTGTAGAGACAGCAGTGACCTTCACAGAACTATGACCTTAACCCTTTTTTGGGATTACTTGAAATGCTGGGTGTGAGCCAGGTCTTCTCGTCCAACATCAGTACCCGACCGGACGATGCTTCTTTACTCTTAAATGGCACACATTTTCACAGACACATTTTAAAATATTGTGGAAAGCCCTCCCAGAAGTGTGGATGCTGTTATAACCACAAAGGGGAGGTGGAGGGGGCAGCTTCATATTATTGTCCATGGTTTTTAGGATGGGATATTTGACAAGCTTGTATAGGTGCTATGGTTGGGTGTCCACAAACTTTAAGCCTGCATAGTATCATTGCTTTTTTTGGTCAGCAGTGGTACGGATATGCTTTGCTGATTGATAATGTTAATAATCTCAGGTAATCCTGAATAATTTCCCTAACCTGGTCTTTTCTGTTGTACGTAGTAGTGTCCCTTTCAGTATAATACAAGAAATATACATACAGATCATAGACATTGAGGGTTTATCTCACATAAAAACCATCTCATTTTTGGTAATGTAGCTTTTTTGAGTAATATATTGCTACCTGTGTTATTTCTAGTCCATCCCTTGGAAGGAATACCCAGCATGGGCAGCAGAAGACCTGTTTGACTTGCCACAAAAAGGAATATTTATTGGCCCAATGCCTGTAGTGGATGGATATGTGGTGCCATTTCCCCCACTGGATGTATGGAAGAAGAAGAAGAAAGAGGGCTATAGTGATGTACCATTTGTAATTGGTACCACCCTGCAAGAAACTGAGTTGGCGTAAGACAATCACTATCGCTTGAATTTAGTGACAAGGTCCAGGAGAGGAGTAGGTTCCTTTGGCCTGGGAGGAAAACTGCAGTAATGTGTCTTTGTGTATATGCTTATATACTAATTTACAAAACATCATCACACCTCCCCCCCCCTCCACACACACAAATTGTGCATGCACAGTTTGTACACTAGATTATCTCAACTCAAAATTATTAGTTGGCATTCAAATGAACATACAACACAGCCAGAGCACATTTTAAGTCTCTATGCTTACTGGGCTTAAAAAAACCACCAGATTCCTTGGCAGAAAAAAAAAACACTCATGTAGAGCGTTTTTGTACACATGTTTAGGAGTGTTTAACTTCAATAAACTAAAAAAACCCAAACCATAAGGGTTTTTTTTTTCCTGCCTCTAAACACTGAGCATAAAATATGCCTCTAATCATCCTAATGTGCATGGACACGTAGGATAACACTGAGCTGCCTCTACAGGTAAAACACAGAAACAACATTTTTTTAAGTTTTTCCTGCCGAAACATTTTTTAAGCCAGTGTGCATGGACCCTTATTGACTTAAAACTACTGCCACCCCTCTCGCTACCAGAATGAAACTCCTTTCAACATCACCTCAATCATAAGGACCAAGGGGGCTTTTCCCCTTTTCGGCAAGCCTCTGATAATACCTGTAAGATTATTCATCTTATCCATTTGCTGCAACATTATAAACTTTCTGGAATGATTCTAGGCCTAGATATTCATAAGGCATTCAACTCACTTTCCTGGGAATATATGTCCTACGTTTTGGAAAAATGAAGATTCCCTCCTACTTTCACATCCTGGTTGAGGGCCCTCTATCGTGGACCCTTTGCCACAGTTCAATACTGCTCCAGACAATACTCCGCCTTCCCTATTCATAGGGGAACATGCCAAGGGTGCCCCCTCTCTCCGATCCTTTTCATTGTGGCCTTGGAGCCCTTACTACATCTTATTAGAACTAACCTGGACATCAAAAGGCGTTACGATCGACCAACAGTCCTTCAAAGTCAGCGCGTTCGTGGAAGACTTGCTCCTGACCCACACTCCGCACTATCCACTCTTTTCTACACCCTTACCCATTTCTCCAATATCTCCGGCTTAGTAGTAAATGAAGATAAATCATCAGCCCTCAACGTTTCTCTCCCTGAGGCAGAGATTAATCTATTAAAACAAAACTACAACTTCGCCTGGCACACCACACACTTGGAATATCTTGGGATTCATTTTACTAATTCCTACTACACCCTTTGTGAGGCCAATTACACCCAATATTCCATTCTCTTAAAGCCCTATTCACGTCCTGGTCTCATCAGCCCTCTCATGGATGGGCAGAATAAACACAGTGAAGATGAATATCCTCCCCAAGCTTCTATACCTATTCCACACTTCCCCATCCCAGTTCCTCCTTATGCCCTGAAGTCATTCCAAAATTATCTTACACTTTACCTGGGCTAACAGATGATCTCAGGTTGCTAAATACACCATGCTCACACACCGAAAATAGGGGGGTTTAGGGGTTCCCAACTTCCTTAAGTACTATATGGAGGCACAAATTGCACCCTTGACCTCCTTATATGCAGAACAAGTCCCATGTGGGTCACTTTGGAAGTGAACTCCTGCTATCCGGTTTTTCCCCACCTTGCTTTTTTATGGCTCCCCCCCCGAGATCCTGGCCCACAACCAACAATCCCCTAATAGTCCACTCGTTGTGCATATGGGATTCCACCAAATACATCAGCGGCCTATTCTCGTTTCGTTTTCCACTCCTTCCCCTTGTGGGCAACCCTCTGTTTCCACCTGGCCTTAAGTCCCCTAATACCTTCCATTGGTGGGTTTCCCACAATCTTCAGTGTGTCCGTTCATATCTCATGGGCCACTCTGTTTACACCTGGGCAGAAATAAGGGACAAATATCAAGCCCCTCACACCAAACTTTTGATTTTTACAAATTAAACATTGGGTGACTTGCCAACAAAGACCCAACAACTCAACTGTCCCTATTTGAACACATTTGCTATCGGACGCATCTCTCCTCTAAATTTATTTCTATCCTTTACTCACAATTGACCAACCTACAAAACCCCAATAATCACACTTATGTTTCCAGGTGGGAAAGGGACCTCAAAAAACACCAAAGATCGGGGCTGCTGGTCACAGATCTGGACAACCCTGACCTCATGTTCTATTAATATGCTTACCATGGAATCGGACTTTAAAATGGTTGTAAGGTGGTACTTAGTCCTGTCTCGTCTAGCGCACCTCCACCCATTCACTCCCAGTACCTGTTTCCGAGGTTGCAATAATCCAGAAGATGTTCTACACACATGGTGGACATTGCCTATGCTCTCTCAGTTCTGGTCGAAGGTCTTCAAACTCCTCCATTCATTATTGACTTATCCCTTCCAAAGAGACCCATGGTATGTCCCCTATACTTAAAACCCTGGACCTATCAAAACACCAAATCAAGTTAGCTACATACTGTATGTATTATTGGTGGCTAAACAAACTATAGCAAAAGCCTGGAAACAACAGTTTATATGTTTCATGGAAGTTCACCACTGCCTTGACTTTTTCCTGGTCAATAAAAAACTGTCTAGCATTCTTTCAGACACCCACAAGAGATTCCTTAACCACCTCCCGCCCGCCATATAGTCCAATGATGGGCGCAAGGTGGTTCTCTTGTTCTGGGAGGACATCACGACGTCCTCCCATTCTCACTGCACATGCGCGGCTCAGGGAACGCGCAGGGCGGCAATCTGCGGAAAGGGTAGAAGATATCAGCTCGGTCATGTGATCAGCGGTGTCCAATCACAGCTCATCACATGTAAACAGGGAAATGCGGTTATCGGCATATCCTCCTCTCGAGATGTCACGCTGACAGCTCGAGAGGAGAGAGAGAGCCGGTAATCTGATTTCCGCGGAGGGGACATGTACACTGTTCATTAGGGCACTGATGATCAGTGTGCCCTGATGATCAGTGTAGCCCCAGCAGTGCCACCTGTCAGTGTGCATCAGTGCCAGCTGTCAGTGTCAATCAGTGCCATGTGCCAGTGCCTATCAGTGTCACATATCAGTGCATACCAGTGCACATCAATGCCACATATCAGTGTCCATCTGAGCTGCCTTTCAGTGTCATCCATCAGTGTCAGTCAGTGCCACCTATCAGTGCTGCCAATCAGTGCAACCTATCAGTGCCAGTCAGTGCCGCCTATCATTGTGCGTCAGTGCCGCCTAACAGTGCCAGTCAGTGCCGCCTAACAGTGCCAGTCAGTGCCATATATCAGTGCCATATATCAGTGCTGCCTTTCAGTGCCCATCAGTGATGCCTGTCAATGCCCATCAGTGCCACCTACCAGTGCCTCATCAGTGCCACCTATCAGTGTACCCTATCAGTGCCCATCACTGCAGCCTCATTAACGCACATCAGTGAAGGAGAAAAATCACTTATTTACAAAATTTTATAACAAAAACTAAGAAAAAACATTTTTTTTTCAAAATTTTTCTGTGGTTTTTGGTTTAAGAAAAAATAAAAAACCCAGAGGTGATTAAATAACACCAAAAGAAATCTCTGTCACAAAAAAATGATAAAAATTTCATATGAGTACAGTGTTGCATGACCGCGCAATTGTCATTCAAATTGCGACAGCGCTGAGAGCTGGAAATTGGCCTGGGCGAGAAGGGGGTATAAGTGCCCTGTAGGCTAGTGGTTAAAATATGAACTCCATGGATCCGACACACCCACCCCACATTATCAATAGATCGCTCCACTTCATTATACCTTTAAAGGCCCCACAATCTGGACCCGAGCGCTTTCGACATCTGTCTTCTGATCCTCCCTGGTTTCCCCTCTCTCTTTTCGGTTCTTATTTTCCGGCTCTACTGCAGGGATGTTTTGACCCACGAGGTGTTCTGTACAACTCACAACTGGATTATATGCCTGTGTACTTTCAACATCATAATCCTTTACTTTTGTCGGCTAATAGGCTACAGACACGTAGCCCTCTCCTAGTTTTTGACGCTGATTTAAAGGCACAACATGATTAATTTATGTTCATTTGACATGCCATTTATAATGTCACTTAATACAGTTAAGCTTTGTTTACAACCACTTTTGACTGTTACCTTTTACTGTAATACTTTCTGTATTGAAAGGGAAACTACTGCCACCCTTCCTCTCCCCTTTAACTGCACTGATGGTTGGCTGCTTACGGCCCAGTGCTGTCACATGTGGACAGGGAGAGAGTCCTTAACTCTGTGTAAGCTCTGACTTGGAGCCTAGGCTACACAGGACTTTTCCTCACCCCAGACAGCTAAATGGAGCAAAAGGGAGTTCAAGAGGGGGAAAAAAAAAGGAGGGGGGGGGGAGCATAAAACAGACTTGTTACTTTGCCCTTCCAAAGTTCATTAAACCAGGCTGATTAGCTTTTGATAGACTTTTGTTAGCTTTGAAAATCTGGGGCAATTATATATTTGTGTCTAAATAACTTACCAGACATTGCAAACTATTTTGTTTCTGTACTGACCTTTAATGGACACCTTGTCCCAAGACCCATAATGAAAACAGGCTGTATAGAACACTCTGTACTTTATGCAGTATATCCACTTCGCATTTTCACACTGTTCAGTGGATGATATTTATGTCCTTTCCAGTAGCTTCTGATTATAATCATGTGCTTTCCCAATTACATTGCATGGACTCAATGCTGGACTTGCCTTTTGCAGGCCTTCACAACGGCTTCCCATTTTACTCTCACTACACTGTGCTACACTCTACTAATATATTTGGCTGAAAATGGCTCTGTTGCCTCCTGCTTCTCCACACAGCCAACAACCATAATGTGCTGGTGCAGGTAAAAAAAGTTAGAAGACATGATAGTGAGGTCTAGTGGCCATTTTCAGTTGAGATGTAGACAGAAGGGGTGGTTGCTTTGGGCACTTAATTAGGTAGGGGATGCCCCTCTCCCAGGCTCTACTACACATAGCAGCCTTGATGCCCCGTGCGGATGATGTAGGGGTCTGTACAATGCAATACAAAGCCCCAGAGGAAGTATACATCATAATACTTGCAATGGCAAGTGCTCACTGGTAAGTGAAGCCACGTGACCAGATTTGAGGCATCTTCTTCTGGTAAGGTGTCTCAGAAGAATGAAGCAAAGTCACACAGACCAATATGCTATTGTGAGCATTATGATGGATACTTACTTTGGGGCTGTGTATTGGGGTGTGTGAACCACTACACCCTGCAGAACGGCTGATATTTGAAGCAGGGTCCAAAGTGGAGGTCTGGATATTTAAAGTTTTTTAATTTTTTTGGAAAGGATGAATTACCTCTTTAAAAAAGGAGAATTCACACCCTCTCCGAAGGCTGATTTAAAGCAAGCTGCTCCCCAGTTCATTCTGCCCGTCTACCATAAAGCAAGATAGGTAGAGTGGGCAGGCAAGATGGGGTGTTCTACGGTCTCGTGCCAAATGCAACTTTCCACTGTGGCTATGTGCTGTGCATTCCATGTTCCAATGTTTCTCCACAGGCCGGTTTTTGAGAACATCTCTAAGTGGACTGAAGAGGATTATCACTGGTTTGTCAAATGTGAGTGTTCTGCCATGCATTGAATGTTAAACTTTTAATGAATATTCAGTCATACCTATAAAAAGGAGGACTTATGTATTATTCTTCTCCAGCACGTCTGAAAACATTTGGGGGAAGTCTAGCAGATGAGGCTCTGAATCTCTATCCCGTCTCGGAGTTCTGTATCCAGCCTGAGCGATGTGTGGAGAAGACCTACATGACAATGGTGTCTGACGTGAGAGTCTCATGTCCCAGCAACGAGCTGGCCAAACAAGCAGCAGGTACTGTATATGCATACTTTATCTCTGGGAATTCCACTACAAGACCAATTACATTTTTACATGTTTTAGTCTCCACACATACTATGAACTGTGACTAAATTTAGCTTGAAATACTTAATGAAAATATTTCCTACCTCTCACTTTGGTGCTCTGTGCTGGCAGAGTTGAGTAATAGCCACACCCCACATCATAGATATGCTCCACAGTCTAGTATTGCAGAAGCACAGGGGGCGTGTCTAACCAGTTAATGGTACGGAGTGTTGGTTACTGAGAGAACTGAATGTTATTTAGACTCCCTGCACAACTGCTGTTACAAGAAAGTAGAAGTAGGACTGGTATAATGGATGTTGTTAGTACAATGTCTATTTGACTGCATATCTATTTCTGTAATTCCAGCTGGGCTTCAAGCTTTTTTTTTTTTTTTTAAAGTTTTTTGAACTGAATGTGATATTTTTAAAAAAAAGGTATAGAGGAAACATTTTTATAGAAAACCCAGAAAAGTAGGTCTCAGTGACCAGGAGAAAGACAAAGCATTTCAGCCTTTTTATTCTCATATAACAAATGACCATTCATTGCTTCATAATTGCAGCTGCATTGTCCAGCCCTGTCTACCGCTACCAGGTCATCTACACTCCATCCCGACCAGTTAGACTCAATAACCTCTTCTCCTATGAAAGCTGGTTCTCCTTTCATATGCTGGATACTCTGGGATTTTTCGGAACTCTGGATTACTCACTTGGAAAAACCACAAAAGCAGATCATGAGTTTCAGAAGCTGATAAGAAAATACTTCATTCACTTTGCAAAAGAAGGTAAGAACAATTATTTATTTATTATAGGTACTTATATAGCGCTGTCAATTTACGCAGTGCTTTACATATACAGTTGTGTTCAAAATAATAGCAGTCAGACATCACTAACCGGATCAGTCACTGTTTTTGGTAGAAATGATATTTCTACATGGCAAATAATTTACTAGCAGGTGTAGTAGAGTAATAGAAATCCAACAGACCCAACAGTCATGACATGCATGCTGCTGATTCTGTGTCATTGAATCACTAATTGAAAGGGGCATGTTCAAAATAATAGCAGTGTGGAGTTCTATTAGTGAGGTCATTCATTCTTTAAAAAACAGGTGGCAATTATTGCCCTTATTTAAGAAAGGAAGGCAGCAAATGTTGTACATGCTGGTTACAGTGCATTTCTCTCTGAAATTCTGAGGAAAATGGGTTGTTCCAGACATTGTTCAGAAGAACAGCGTACTTTGATTAAAAAGTTGATTGGAGAGGGGAAAACATATAAAGAAGTGTAGAAAATGATAGGCTGCTCAGCTAAAATGATCGCAAATGCTTTAAAATGGCAACCAAAACCTGAAAGATGTGGAAAAAAGCAAAAAACTACCATTCAAATGGATAGAAGAATAGCCAAAATGGCAAGGACTCAGCCAACAATCAGCTCCAGGAAGATGAAAGAAGGTGTAAAGTTCCCTGTGAGGACTGTTACAATTAGAAGACGCCTATGTGAAGCCAAGCTATCTGCAAGAAGCCCCCGCAAAGTCCCACTGTTGAAAAAAAGACGTGCTGAAGAGGTTACAATTTGCCAAAGAGCACATTGACTGGCCTAAAGAGAAATGGCGCAACATTTTGTGGACTGATGAAAGTAAGATTGTTCTTTTTGGGTCTAGTGGCCGGAGACAGTTTGTCAGACGACCCCCAAACACTGAATTCAAGCCACAGTACACTGTGAAGACAGTGAAGCATGGTGGTGCAAGCATCATGATATGGGGATGTTTCTCATACTACGGTGTTGGGCCTATTTATCGCATACCAGGGATCATGGATCAGTTTGAATACATCAGAATACTTGAAGAGGTCATGCTGCCTTATGCTGAAGAGGAAATGCCCTTGAAATTGGTGTTCCAACAAGATAACGACCCCAAAACACACACAGTAAACGTGCAACATCTTGGTTCCAGACCAACAAGATTGACGTTATGGAGTGGCCAGCCCAATCCCCGGATCTTAATCCAATAGAAAACTTGTGAGGTGACATCAAAAATGTAGTTTCTGAGGCAAAACCAAGAAATAGAGAAGAACTGTGGAATGTAGTCCAATCATCCTGGGCTGGAATACCTGATCACAGGGGCCAGAAGTTGGGTGACTCCATGCAACACAGATGTACAGCAGTTCTCAGAAACAGTGCGACTACAACCAAATATTCATTAAGTGATTCAAAGGAAAGCAAAATCTTCAAACATTTTTCAGTTTATATAGTGAATGTTTGAGTTTGTAAAGAAGAATACAAACACTGCTATTTTTTTGAACAGTCACTTTTCTTCAATTTTTTTAAGAGGAACAACACAAATTTGATATATTTTTCTTCATGTTTTGATTTGGAATAGAATGTGTAGTGTTCCCAATGCATTTGTGTGTATGGAAATAAAAGCTATTCAAAGAATTTTCAGCTTTATTCACTTTTTTCAACACACTGCTATTATTTTGAACACAACTGTATATATTGTACATTCACATCAGTCCCTAACCCTCAAGGGGTGTACAATCTAAGGTCCCTAACGTACATTCATACATACATATACTAGGGCCAATTTAGACAGGAGCCAATTCACCTACCAGCATGTCTTTGGAGTGTGGGAGGAAACTGGAGTACCCAGAGGAAACCCACGCAGGCACAGGGAGAACATGCAAACTCCAGGAAGGTGGTGCCATGGTTGGGATGCAAACCAACGGCTGTAGTACTGCCAGGCAGAAGTGCTAACCATTTAGCCACTGTGCTGCCCGATTGTCAAGGATGTTGTCCCTCAGCAACTAGAAGCCAGCAAAAGAGTACAAGCATCCAACTGCAGTGGTGTAGAGATACTGAAACATGATGGCTACCTTTGCTGAAAATGGTTACCTGTATTTCTCTGATTTCTAAACTTTTAGCTACCAGCAATGGAAAAAACATTGCAACAGTGTCCTTGAAGTTGACACTCCTAATCTTCAGGATTGTTCTAGATCAGCCTCTTAGAAAATTCTAAAGCCAAAATGATTAGTAGGACAGCCAAGAAACTATCAATTTTCAAAAGGAAATACAGCCTACACATTTTCATTATTATTGTTATTATTCAGGATTTATACAGTGCCACCAGTTTGCACAGTGCTTTACAAAATGTGGGCAAACAGTACAGTTACAATGCAATTCAATACCTGAGGAATCAGAGGGCCCTGCGTGTTAGAACTTACATTTGAGAATAGAGATTTGCTGCATTTGGCTTTTCACAAGCTGTTGCTCTTGAAAATGGGTACGACTTTAGATTCTGTTTTTCCCAATGATGTCACACTGGAATAACACTTTTGGCAGATTAAAGAAGGAAGGGCTAAAGAATTCAAGAATGTTTTTGAAAAGTGGGATTAAAAAGGAACCTGATGGGGTAGAATCATGGAAGCTATGGTAGCTGAATTTTTTTGCATAATGTTTATTAGCGTTTTCAGATTAAACTCACAATAAAAGTAAAGAAAAATCCAATAGGGTGCATCAACTTATTGCCATTAAATAGTCAATAGAAAATACACAAATAAAAGAATCACACACCTATGGCAGTTGGCCTGAAGGTGTTCTGAAGAAAACCCTCTCCATGTATGAGCAGAAGATGAAATGCTTTGTAGTAAAATTAGAAGGGCAGATATGTAGAAGGTAAAAGGGGATAGGGAAGGGTAGGGGAGGGGAAGAATATGCAGTTCAGTGTTGGGCACTAATTCACAAAAATGGGGAACTGGAGAAAGTACAGAGAAGGGCAACCAAACTGATAAGAGGCATGGAGGAGATCAACTATGAGGAAAGATTAGAGGAACTGAATGTATTCTCTCTTGAGAAGAGGAGATTAATTGGGGGGGGGATATGATCTCCATGTATAATACATAAGGGGGATGTGATCTCCATGTATAATACATAAGGGGGGATATGATCTCCATGTATAATACATAAAGGGGGATATGATCTCCATGTATAATACATAAGGGGGATATGATCTCCATGTATAATACATAAGGGGGGATGTGATCTCCATGTATAATACATAAGGGGGGATGTGATCTCCATGTGTATAATACATAAGAGGGGGATATGATCTCCATGTATAACACATAAGGGGGGATATGATCACCATGTATAATACATAAGGGGGGATGTGATCTCCATGTATAATACATAAGGGGGGATGTGATCACCATGTATAATACATAAGGGGGATGTGATCACCATGTATAATACATAAGGGGGGATGTGATCTCCATGGATAATACATAAGGGGGGATGTGATCTCCATGTACAATACCGATAAGGGGGGATGTGATCTCCGTGTATAATACATAAGGGGGGGATGTGATCTCCGTGTATAATAAATAAGGGGGGATGTGATGATTCTCCGTGTATAATACATAAGGGGGGATATGATCACCGTGTATAATACATAAGGGGGGATATGATCACCATGTATAATACATAAGGGGGGGATATGATCACCATGTATAATACATAAGGGGGGGTATGATCACCGTGTATAATACATAAGGGGGATATGATCTCCGTGTATAATACATAAGGGGGGGATATGATCACCATGTATAATACATAAGGGGGGATATGATCACAGTGTATAATACATAAGGGGGGTATGATCTCCATGTATAATACATAAGGGGGGATATGATCTCCATGTATAATACATAAAGGGGGGATATGATCTCCATGTATAATACATAAGGGGGGATATGATCACCATGTATAATACATAAGGGGGGATATGATCTCCATGTCTAATACATAAGGAGGGATATGATCTCCATGTATAATACATAAGGGGGGGATATGATCTCCATGTATAATACATAAGGAGGAATATGATCTCCATGTATAATACATAAGGGGGGATATGATCACCATGTATAATACATAAGGGGGGATATGATCTCCATGTATAATACATAAGGGGGGATATGATCACCTTGTATAATACATAAGGGGGATATGATCTCCATGTATAATACATAAGGGGGGATATGATCTCCATGTATAATACATAAGGGGGGATATGATCTCCATGTATAATACATAAGGGGGATATGATCTCCATGTATAAATACATAAGGGGGGATATGATCTCCATGTATAATACATAAGGGGGGATATGATCTCCATGTATAATATATAAGGAGGGATATGATCTCCATGTATAATACATAAGGGGGATATGATCTCCATGTATAATACATAAGGGGGAATATGATCTCCACGTATAATACATAAGGGGGGATATGATCTCCATGTATAATACATAAGGGGGATATGATCTCCATGTATAATACATAAGGGGGGATATGATCTCCATGTATAATACATAAGGGGGTATGATCTCCATGTATAATACATAAGGGGGGATATGATCTCCATGTATAAGACATAAGGGGGGATATGATCTCCATGTATAATACATAAGGGGGGATATGATCTCCATGTATAATACATAAGGGGGTATGATCTCCATGTATAGATACATAAGGGGGGATATGATCTCCATGTATAATACATAAGGGGGGCTATGATCTCCATGTATAATACATAAGGGGGGGATATGATCTCCATGTATAATACATAAGGGGGGGATATGATCTCCATGTATAATACATAAGGGGGGATATGATCTCCATGTATAATACATAAGGGGGGATATGATCTCCATGTATAATACATAAGGGGGGGATATGATACTCCATGTATAATACATAAGGGGGGGGATATGATCTCCATGTATAATACATAAGGGGGATATGATCACCATGTATAATACATACAAGGGGGGATATGATTCTCCATGTATAATACATAAGGGGGGGATATGATCTCCATGTATAATACATAAGGGGGGATATGATCTCCATGTATAATACATCAGTAGTTCATATAGTGAACTCTGTGTAGAGTTATTCACCCTGAGGTCATCACAGAGGACAAGGGGGCATTCTTTACATCTGGAGGAAAAGAAATTTAATCTCCAAACACGGAAAGGTTTCTTCACAGTGAGAGCTGTGAAAATGTGGAATAGACTTCCTCAAGAGTTGGTTCTGGCCAGCTCAGTGGATTGCTTTAAAAAAAAGGCCTGGATTGTTTCTTAGATACACAGAATATAACTGGATTACTAACATTTTTATGGGTAAAGTTGATCCAGGGAATAATCCGATTGAATCTCGGGGGATTAGGAAGGAATGGTTTTCCCTGCAGGAGCAAATTGGATCACTCTTTGCTGGGTTTTTTTGCCTTCGTCTGGATCAAAACTGTGGGTTGTAAGATTATAACTTTTTTTTTACATTTTATTTTAATGGTTAAAACTGGATGGTCTTCTGTCTTTTTTCAGCCAGACTAACTATGTAACTATGAAGTGGAAGGAAATTGGAGGTAGGTTGGGAGGAAGGAGTCAACCTACGCCAGGTTATGTTTCAAGCATTAGATATTGGAAAATTAAGACAGAGAATAGGTTGGAGAATGAAGGATGATTTAAATATTGTCTAAGATGCCTAAGTTTTCAAGAAATGATCAAGAGGGTTGTCATCTTCTGTCACGAGGTGGTCCACATGTATTGTCTCACCCATTTCAGCAGCGCCCGTTCAGCTATGTGCCGACTTGTTGTTAAAGTTTTATGCCTTCATTTCCCCAGACAAAATAAGGCAAAATGGGGGAACCGAGGGGTGCTAGGCAACATTTTATGGATTTTGACGTCCCTCTGGAACCTTCCTTGTTTTTGCTTCATAATCACCAAATCCCAGCCAAAATATATTAGAAAATGGATTCTGAGGCATCTCTTGAATGCAGTCAAGGCCTCTATTCCTGCTGGATAGAAGCACCTGCCTCAATCCATCTATGGCTAAAAGGTCAGCTATTTTTCATATGACCTTTTATTGCCTCCAGTTCCATGTACTAAGAGAGCAAGCACATCTTTGTGAGGACAGGAATAAATTTGGGCTACTTCCACAAACCCAGCCTTTATCACGACTTATTTTTGCACTCCTCTTCCCACCCTTTTTTGGTGGGGCGAGGGGGGGGGCTATGTGATTCCTTCCCCTTCTTTTTACTAGGATTGCCATTTTACCTCCACAACCTTTCCCTGAATCATATTTGCATATTATCCTACTCATACCTACGATATGGTGACACTCATCCATTTCTATTCCCAGTCTGACCCTACATTGCTCTGCTCTCATTACGTGTTTGATTTTTTTTTTAATTTATTTCGCCCTGAACCTCCCCCAACCCCCCCACCCCCCACAATTTATGGAAAAATAAGCAATACAGTTGGATTGAGCCTCTATACTTTAGGATTTAAAGTTGAACGTTGATCCCTAGAGTCTTGAGACATCATCATAATCTACTTGTTATATCTGATATGCATTTCCATGTATTGGATTTATTTCATCATGTCATTACTCTAGTGGGACCCTAAGGTAGGGCTGCTAGGAATAACCCGATTATTTTTTTGTTTCATTGTAGTGAATGGGACACAGTGATTTGTTTGTTCTGCTCTGTCCAGGATGGTGGCTAAGGTAGGGCTTATATAATAGTCTGGATCCATGGAGCAGGGGTCCTTCCAAGATGAGATCCAAGCCTCACGGGCTAGTTACTTGCCGCTGAGGCAACCGCTATGGGCTGTGTGCTTGATCGCTAAGGTGGTCTATAGGTAAGAAGAGCGGAGGGGGGGAGCGATCTTGAAGCTACTTAAAGTGTTATCTAAGCCTCCCAGCACCTTTCATTCAGTATATCTGGTCTCCACAGTACAGAGAACATGGGAAATGCAAATTCTTTTAGTAAATATAAGCGGCTGAATATACATTTCTCATCAGCAGAGCAGTCTTTGTGACAATCTATCGCAGAGTTCAGTAAAGCCCTGATTAAAGCTTGTAGGGAGGATCTTTCTTTCTGCTCTAGGTAGGATGCAGAAACACTGACCTTGCTCTGACAGTGCCGAAAGATCTCATGAAATCTCGCAAGGAAAAAAACTAAATAAACATAAAACACCTCTCTACAAATACACACCAAACTGAGCATGTGCCGCAGTATCTCCACACGAATATGTCTTCTCAGGAGATATAAGTGGGAAGAAGGGGAGGTTCAGAAAAGTCAGGGATCAAACAGCATTTTTTACACCAAAGTAGAGGATTAACCTCTTAGGTTGCCACATGTGAGTAAATATCAAACGCATTGCTGTAGCGCGCATACGTACCGAACTTGATTTTACTGTTGTGTGGGTTTAGTATCACTAACTTCACCTTACTACAAATTCAGGTTTGGGAAGAATCACCTGACTCCACTGGGAGGTTGGTTTGGAGTAACCTGGGTAACCGTCCTTGGGGTCTTTGCGGAGTTAGTGTCCTTGAACAGATTACCAGGTTGTGAGGCAGCGTGCACTTTGTGTATGTAAGATGCCATGAGGTTGCTTTTAAACCCAAAAAAAACCAAATGGAGAAGGCTCTCAGTAGGGTCGTCGGATACTGGCGTTTTCCCTGTCCCTCAGCACATAGATTCTAATCCGGGAGCTTAGCGAAATAGCGCCCTCCTCCCTCCTATATGTGTGTTTCCTTAAGGTTGCACTGGATACCAATAGCTGTGCTATTGTGCAGGGTAATCAGGTGGCCAAGAAAACTGGCCTCAGGGTCCTCAGATGTGAAGCCTACGTCAGTCCTATACAATAGTGCTCAATGGAGAAGAATTGGTCCACTTTCTAGCTAACTGCTAGTCATTTTGGGAGTATCCCATGACTCTAACCGCATTAATATATATATATACCCCTATCTCATTACAAAGTTCTTCAAACAATATATTCACAAGCTACTTTCCTTTTTATTGCTACCAGGACCAGTCCGAGGGTCAATAAGAACCCAATCAAAACACTTTCCCAATATTTCGAGATGTGTGCGCGCGACTGACAGCACTCAATAGAGATAAAAAAACAACATAAACCTGTCCCTACTCTGGTTAAAATATTAAAACCTGTTTGGCATCAAAGATGTTACATTATTCTCTATTGCCACACCTCCAACCTGTGTGACTAATCATCTCTGATGAATTTGGGATCTAATATACTCTTTGCTTAACAACTGAGGCACTGGCTATGGGTGATAGTTTCTGTAACCCACAAAATACACTCAAAATCTGAATCATGACCTCTGAGAGGGAAAAAAAACCCCAAAAACACAAAACCTGATATCCATGTAAATATTGTAAGAGCCTACTATGACCACAACACTGTGCATTTTGAACACTCAAATGCTTTCAGTGTACCTTTAGGATGCAGAAATGGCATCGATACAGAAAATGAAACATGATTAACTGCCTACCTAAACCCTTTATTTCTTGCGGTATTGTCCTTAACTCCAAAATGGTGAAAGATATTGCAGTGAGCCTCTCAGGAGATTGAGGACTTGTGTCTTGAGGGAGTGTACTGAATGAGACTTTCATGTATTCTATTTTTTTTTATAGGTCCGAATGCCAGTTGACATGGGCCGAGTTCCCCTATAGGACAGCGATATCGTCCACGTCACTGTCTGTGGTGAAGAACTATCGCTCAGTCTGTGTGCACTCTGGGAGAAGTACAACATGTTTCCGTATGCCTGGGATAAAAACTGAGAGAATACTCATTTCCATGGAACCTGTTGTAAGATATAGAGGTCGTCTCCTGTAGCTGCAAGGTTCACTCTGACATCCATTCCAAAGAATTCAAGCTTTCGGTGAACTGACCTGAAACAAACATGCAGGATAGGTTGTTTTTGCTTGCAATCTTGTCTAGGTCTCAGTAACAAAGAAAGGAACTAAAGCCAAAGACAACTAATAAACTAGAATTTTTCTTATAACATAAATTTGCATGCACTATATAAAATCCCCAAAAGCATATATACTAGAAAAAATTTTAAAACAAACACTCCCGGGCGAAAATACTCATGTTATGCCTCGGAAGTTTTTAAACTTTTCCATAGCACTTTCGGGTTTTTTTCCAAAATAGGGGAAAAAAAGTGAAAAAGCTCAAAATCCTTTTTAATAGCTTTTTATTTTCCTTTACTCACAAATGCTTTGGGGAACACGACAAAATTCTTTCCCAAACCCAAAACAGGAAAAAAAAATATATAAAATTTGGGGTTTTATTTTTTTAAAAAAAATTGAAAAAAAGTGAATTTTAAAATGTTAAAAAAATTTAGCCGTGTTTGTTTTCCCTTTCTTTACAAAACTCAAACTTTCACTATTAAAACTAAAAAAATTTTTTAAAGTTTTTGCTTTCCTTTGAATACTTAATGAATTTTTGGGGTTGTAGTCGCACTTTTTTCTGGAATGCTGTACATCGGGTGTTGCATGGAGTCAACCCAAATTCTGGCCCCCGGGGATCAGGGATTCAAGCCCGGATGATTGGACTACATTCCACAGTTCTTCTCTATTTCTTTGGGTTTTTCCCCCGAAAAATGCATTTTTTTATGTCACCCCCCAAGTTTTCCCCTTTTGGGTTAAGATCCTGGGATTGGGTTTGGCCCCCTCCAATTTAAGTCAAACTTGTTTTGGTTTTGGAACCAAAAGGGTTTCACGTTTTTTCTGGTGTTTGGGGTTGGGGGGTTTTTTTTTTTTTTTCTTGTTGGAAAAACCCCCTTTCAAGGGCTTTTCCCCTTCAGCATAAGGGGGCATGACCTTTTTCAAGAAATTTGAAAGTATTCAAAAATGTCCCCGATCCCCGGTTTGCGATTTAAATTGGCCCAACACCTTAGTATGAGAAACATCCCCCTTTCCCTGATGCTTTTCACCACCATGGCTTCACTTTTTCCAGTGTACTGTGGCTTGAATTCGTGTTTGGGGGTTTCTGACAAACTGTCTCGGCCACTAGACCCAAAAAAAAACAATCTTACTTTCATCAGTCACAAAAATGTTGCGCCCCATTTCTCTCTAGGCCAGTCTAATGTGCTCTTTGGGCAAATTGTAAACCTCTTCAGCACGTCTTTTTTTCAACGTGTGGGACTTTGCGGGGGCTTCTTGCAAGAGAGATTGGGCTTCACATAGGATCTTCTAATTGTACCAGTCCCACCAGGGACTTTACACCTTCTCTTCATCTTCCTGGAGCTGATTGTTGCTGAGTCCTTGCCATTTTGGGCTATTCTTACTATCCATTCGAACTGGTAGTTTTTTTCCGTTTTCTTCCCACATCTTTTCAGGTTTTTTGGTTGCCATTTTAAAGCATTTGCCAGACATTTTAGCTGGAGCAGCCTAATTCATTTCTGATCTAGCTTCTCTTTATATGTATTTCTTCCCCTCTCCAAATCTACTTGTTAATCAAGAGTACGCTTGTTCTCTGAACGACATGTTCACTTGTGAACAACCCATCTTTCCTCAGAAATTTCAGAGAGAAATGGCAATCTGTAAACCAGCATGTAAAAACTTTTTGCTCAGCCTTCCCCCCATTCCTGAAATAAGGGCAATAATTTGCCACATGTTTTTATTCAAAGAATAGAATGGACCTCACTAATAGAATCTCCACACTGCTATTATTTTGAACATGCCCCTTTCAACTTAAGATGATTTCCAATTTACACAGAATCAAGCAACATGCATGACATGACTGTTGGGTCTGTTTGGAATTTCATATTACTCTGACTTCACCTGCAAAGTAAATTTATTTGACCATTGTCGAAGTATCATTTTTTCTACCAAAAACAGTGAATTGATCCGGTTAGTTATGTCCTGAACCTGCTTAATATTTTTGAACACAACGTGGTAGTGTTCAAATCCTTCCTTCTAAAAGTGCATTATAACAACCATCTTTCACTCACTTATATTCAAAGAGGTCTAGTATCTGTAGACACTTTGCTCAATATGCTTTTCCTTTCACTTATGGAAAGGTCTATTAAGACACTTACTTGGGATCAACTACACTAGAGACGTGGAACCTTTTCGTATCTCTTGTGAGCAGCAGGGGTCTCCAAACGCGTTGATCCAAACAAAAATGGGCCAGTATTACTGTTCCTTCAGTTTTACTTCAGACATGCCGGATTAGGGCCAGTGAGGATAAGGAAAAGTGTCTGGCCCCAGCATCAGTGGGGACAATAAACAATAGCACTCAGGCTTGATGGCCATAGTAAGAGTCTAGTGTCCCTCCATTTCATTGGGTTCCCCCCCCATCCCTATGTAAGAAGAATAGTGGCGACTAATCATTGGTTTTCGAATGGAGATGAAGGAGCTGCTCAACTGAGTTGGTAGTCTCAATGAGAGGAATAGTGCCCCTAATGCATATAGGCACACTTGAAACGGAACTCTGGACCTTTTATTCTGCCTCATTATCTGTAAATTGGGATAATGAGGGAATAACACACTCTGGCCAAGGAAACAAGTCTCGAGAAGGCCAATTCGTCCCATTACTTATTTGGACCCTTAACAGTTGTAATGCACATATGCAAACTTGTTGATAATTCCCTACACGTCGTTCACCTGATGTTGGATGTAATATACCCTCAAATTAAAGCTGGACCGTCTGCCGAGTTAAAGCACATCTTGGTTGCCCTTTCATTTAAAACTACCATTGTGGTGGTGTATAGATGCCCCAAATATATTTAGGAATTGTGTCCTACTTTCCCTCTCTTATTTATTGGACTCCACTTGACTAGGTACTCAGTCAGTTTGCAAGACAAATAAATTTGCTTTAGAAAATCATACTATGTGAGTCCCTGAATTTTTTTTTTGTAATTCTGTCTCACAGAGTGGGAATGCACCTACAATGTGAATGTTCGGACCCCTCCATATGATTTCTAAGTGGGAGAACTTGCAAAATCGCAGGGTGTTCAAAATACTTCTTGTCCTCCACTGATATATATATATATATATATATATATGGAATGTCTGATTGCCTAGGCAGATGGTCTCCAAACTGCTGCTGGGGGCCAGATGTGGGCCTTTGCTTTCTTTTATCCTGCCCTTTGGGCACAATTTTTAATCCACTGATACAACAATGTGGAGCATAATTCATCACCCACTAACACCCAATGAAGTGGTATAGTTCTGCTCCCAATGAAGGGGTAATACAATTCCTCTCAATAACACCAACGATGGGGACTATTCCTGCCCCATGATGCCAACAATACCAATGATGGGTGCACATTCCTCCACAATGGAAACCCCCCCCCCAAAAATGGGTCCAATTCATTCTCCCACTGATACAAAATATGGAGCGTTGTCTATTTCCACTGATGTCAGACCTTTTCTACTCCCAACAGCCATATTCCGGCCCCCTAATATCTGAAGGACGAGTAAGCTGGAGCCCTTTGTTTAGAAAGTTTGGAGACCCCTGCCTTAGGGGGATACGAAAAGAAATTTTTCTTTCCCCTGGTGGAGCAAATGGACAATTCTTTAAAGGTTGTTAAAACGTTTGTCACTAAAAAAACAAGTGTCCCCCATTGGAAGATTCCCTTTTTCTGCCATTTTAGCAACATGGAAAATGAAGACCATTTGCACAGGCCCTGCCCCATGATATCCACTAACTCTACTGTCGCATGACAATAATTAGCAGATTGGACACAGTTAGACAGAGCCATAGTTCCTGCCACCCCTGAGGGTTATTGGAGGCGGGAGTAGTCACATAGGACACAGTTTACCAGGTGTGACACCATAAACCTACCTGCAAGTCAAGCAGACATTGCAATATGATAGCATCTCATTATCTGGAAAACAAGCCACGTACATGACCAATATAAACACAAAAGCTCACATTTGATATGTACAATCTTACATAGCTGATAACAGCCAAGTAAATATGATTTTGGGTCAGACCTGATCTACAACATGAAACCTTTTCGTAACAAAACTTTCCTTGATTATTGCACAAGCAAGGATTTCATGTAATAACAGTGGTCTCACTAGGGTTGGTGTCACCTCGAGTGTGCGTGAAATATGAAGTCACCACCCTTCCCCCCCCATTATATTTATTTCCTCGGTTTTCTGAAAGTGCGCCAAAGATGCAGCACAAGGGACTTTTGGTGTGCTCTCAGAAAATGCAGAAAAAAAATGTGCAACCTAATAGAAATCTATAAGACATGCAGCTATAACTTTGGGTAAAATGCAGGAAATCCCCTCTTACATTACACCGCCCCCCCGCACCACTGACCCCTTTACATTACATACACCGCCCCCCACACTTCTGACCCCTTTTTACATTACACCGCCCCCCCCGCACCTCTGACCCCTTTACATCTCTAAACACACGCCCCCCCGCACCTCTGACCCTTCTACATTACAAACCGCCCCGCCCCCCGCCGCACCTCTGACCCTTTACATTAACACCGCCCCCCACACCTTCTGACCCCTTTACATTTCACATACCCCCCCCCGCACCTCTGACACCCTTTACATTACAACCGACCCCACACATCTGACCCCTTTACATTACACCGCCCCCCCGCACCTCTGACCCCTGTTACATTACAACCGCCCGACCCCACACATCTGACCCCTTACATTACACTGCCCCCCCCCCGCACCTCTGACCCCGTTACATTACATTACACCGCCCCCCCGCACCTCTGACCCCTTACATTAACACCGCCCCCCACACTTCTGACCCCTTTACATTACACCGCCCCCCCCCGCACCTCTGACCCCTTTAC